TCCCACGCTTTCTCGACACCCAAACAGCTGAAAAGCATCGTCAGCTTGTACATCAGGCCTCGGGATTTCCGATCACCATGTCGATTATCGAGCATGTTGTGCTTTTCAAGGTCAGAGAGGGCACGGATCAGTCAAAGGTCGATGCGATGGTCAACGGCCTGAACGGTCTGGTCACTCTGGACGCTGTACTCCACCTCGCCGCCGGGCCGATCCTTCGTGTCAGATCCTCGCTTTCGAACTTCACCCACATACTTCACTCCCGGTACAAGTCAAAAGAGGACCTGGATGCGTACGGTTCTCACCCCGAACACCAGCGCGTGGTGAAGGAGAACGGTCAACCCATCTGCGAAGACATCATGGCTGTTGATTGGGTCGCCGATCATGAACCCAACCCGCTGGTCCTACCTCCTGGGTCCGCCGTCAAAGTAACATTCCTGAAACTAAAAGACAACGTTTCCAATGAAGCAAAAGGTGAGGTATTGGGGGTAATTAAAGGGATTGAGGAGGAGATTTCTGGGATTCAGCAGATCACATGCGGGGAGAACTTCTCACCGGGCAGAGCAAAGGGATTTTCAATTGCTTCAATCGTGGTTTTTCCTGGGGTGCCGGAGATGGAGGCGGCCGAGTCAAATGAAGAGTTGTTGAGCTTGCAAAAGGAAAAGATTAGGGAGCATTTGGACGGCGTGATTGTTGTGGACTATGTGATTCCCTCCCCCTCATATTCCAGCCTCTAAAGGTCTCTCACTGAAATCTCAATTATCTTGTCTTGTATGAAAATGATGTAAAAAATTTTCACCTGTTGCACTCTTAGGAAATTGGAAATGCATTTCTAAACTTAGCATTGTTCATTTACATTGTGTTGGCAGGATTTGTTTATTTACCTCTGTAATGACATTTCATTTAGTTCTCGGTATTCATACAAGTGTTTGTTTTGGTAATTTGCAAATAGCTATAAGCTTTTAACATTAATTAAATAAAATAAATATTTTAAATTATAAATAATAAGTATAAACCCTCCTATGTCCCTAACTTATGTTAGTGAGTTAGCAGGTTCCTAAAATTCTCAGAGGGTGTCAATTCAAAATGTATTATGCATTATGTATTACATGTCTTTTAATTTTTTAAGAATGTACAACACAAGTTGTGAGCTTGGGCCAATCACTAATTCTCTGGCGACGGATTCTGCTAGAATCCTTCTTTAAGGGCTCGTTGCAATTTTTGTTATTTATTAATTGGTTATTATGATCCTCCTGGGTGACTCACGCTTTGATAGAATATAGAAATTATGGAGGGATTTAGGATTAGGCCCCAGGAACATTCTATACATTTTATACCATGATTGAGGATTGCAATGCAGACGACAAATTATGTATGGCGAAGAAGGGGGACTGCCAATTAAATTGTTTTGTCGACAACAATATTGTATGCATGGTTCTTGTGGTGGTGGAAGTTAATATTTTTTTGGCCTTAAGTTAATTTATGTTTAGAGTCTCTTACTTTATATGGTTCAGACTGTTCACCTCTATTCAATTGTTAATATTGTGTAGTGTAATCTACACTGTACTATATAATACTTTTTCTTTATGTTTAATCTTGGTTGTCTGAGTAATAAGGAGCCGGGGTTAATTAATCAAAGCTGAGGAAAAAGGGGATGCGGAAGACAAAGTGGGTTTATTGGGTCGAGGCCTTTTCTAGTCCAGCCCAGTTAACCTGCCTAAAGAAAGGTCCAGATGGCCATTACCAATTGAATCTGTGTGTATTTTATGCCCAACTCAAAGCTGTTAGGGTAAGTCTTTCCAACCCATGACCCATTTCGACTAAACTGAGGTGAGCCGCATGTAAGAATTTATAATGACAGTAGGCGACCTTCTTTCTTCTTTTTACCCCACTCCGCCACTCGACTAGCATTTCTCATTCCATAAACAAATTAACCTCTAAGCATGTATGGTTGAACACAACATGGTAGACAAATGATCAGTTTGATCGAGTTACTTTTTTGTGTTGTTTATAAATAATTTTATTAGAGAAAATATGTTACTTTTTAACATTTAAATTGCTTACAAGCAAATTAAAAAAAAAAAAAAAAAACTTGTGGCCAACAAGTTTTTACACTTCTTAAAAGATTGTTTATAAGCCAAAAAAAAAAAAAAGTTGCTCTGTCAAACTATCTCTTAATATATCTAGAATTAGAAAATGATAAACCTTAAATCTTCTCTATTCTTAATTTGCTAAGCAAGTTTTCAATTTTGCATTGGTTTTATAGTTTTATCAATAAATAGTAACTTCTCCAATTGGTCAATCTAAGAATAGGGAATAGGGATCTTCCCTTAGTTGGTTTCTAGCATGTTTGGGATTTTCTCTTATTTGGTTTTTAATATGTTTGATTGGAGAGGAATGAAAAAAAAAATAGAGGACAGAGATAAAATTTTTTTTATTATGTTATTAAAAAAATTAAAGAAAAAAAGGAGGAAAAAAGTTTACTTATTTTTATTTTTTTAATTCAATTTTTTTATTTAAATAATTTTTTTTAAAAAAAGTTCTCCTCTTCTTGGTTCCCTCAACTCAAATGGGGTTGAAGAATTATTGTATGAATTGTAGACTTCATTGTCTGTGAGATGGTCTCCAGCAAATGCCCCAGTCCCCACTCTTTTTAATGATTGTACTATAACGCTGCTGAGTGCTGACTTTCTGTCAACAAATTGACAATGCATGATATGTATCTGCTTTGATTTTTTGCGCAGCCAGGGACAGCCGGTCCCCTCTCATCTTATATATGGGTCGATTGAGGGCATAATAATTGCCTCTCGGCCATTCGATTAAGACTGCATAAATAGTATAATAATTGTATTTATTTTAATTGATTTTATCAAATTATAATTTTAAAGTTAATTATAATATTTTAAAATATTAATTTATAAATTAATTGTAAATTATTAAATAATAAATATTTATTATAAGTCATTTTTAACAATTAGACAATATTTTGTACTGCCTAACAAAAAGGCCACGGGCTCCCGTTGATTTTTTTTTTTTTTAGAAGGACGATAGTTAGAGATGGTAGTGTATTAGAGGTGTTAGTATATAGAGAAAGTATTAAACTCGAAACATAAGATGCAAATCAAGACTTACTCCAAAGGACAACAAATGACCGTTGCACTACACACGTGTTGCGCCACGCACGTGGAATGCGGGCTGCCGTTGATTGATATACAATTATTTGTATACTTTTGGCATTACTTGGGTAAAGCAGGTGGGTCAAGGTGCACTTGCCTGATTCATAAACTTGTGCTGTTCGGATGCTGAGGGGAAAAGAACTTCTTGTTGTTATGCACTCCAAGTGGGGATGGCAATTTGCCCACTACTAGAAAATAATATTTAATTGATAAAAATATAATCGATAGTTAAAAAGTTATTGATTATATGAGTATAACCAACAAAAACTCTATTAATTATAATAAAGTGTTAATTATGTAAATATAATTGACAATCACTATAACTATCAATTATGTCTAAATTTTGAAAATATGTATGTTAATATTTACCCTTTCACTAATAGTATTTATGAATATATTATATGTTTTGTAAATTATAAATTAATAATAAAAATTTAATATTAT